TCTCGCCTTACTGCATCATGAACCAACTAGGCCAACAACAAGTTTTAACCATGACATAGTTTTAAAATATTCCTTCGTATCAACCAGGATGACTAATTTTCCAGCCCTTTGCTGGTGTGACTACTTTCCTCCTCTATAGACTACTAGCCTCCTCTATAGAAGCTTTAAACGGGCGCCAGATTGAGCCGCCATTGCCGACCTTCTCTTGTCTCACCGAGATACCGAGCCACTGAAACGGGCGTTGACGAGCCTTTCCAAAGGCCTATGCAGGGGAGAAGGACACAGTGGCACCTAAAGTGACAATAACCTGCCCTGCTGTGGCAGTGACAAAGTGAGGCGAACAGTATAAGACGAAACAAAAAATGAAGGTCCGTTATGGCGGCGCCCTGACACAGATGCCTGAAAGCGTATATACACCAACTCATGTTTACAAACAAACCGGATCGCCCGTAGCGGACGCCACCGGCGCCGCGCATGCGCGGTGGACGGTGGGCAAGAAGCCTGCCGTCGCCCATAAACATACCATTGAATTGCGTTGTTGTCAGCGTCGGTGGGAGTCCCCGTGCTCTTTTTCGCGTTGGAATTGTTGGTTCTACGTCCTCCTAACAATGCCTGACTACTTGAGTGGCTTCAGCAAAATTAACGAGGCAAAGCTTTGCGTGAATAATGTGACATGCGGCGATTCATTTCACGTGGACGCCGCAGAATGGGCGTCCACGTGAAAGTGTGACTCCCACGATGAGATTCTGCTCGCTATTTTTAGTCGCGACGTCGCTCGGACTGCAAAAGCGTGGACCGTAGCTGAGATGGTGGACGTCGATACTGAGAACCGCAAGTAGAATCGGGCATTACAAGTCGGTGATGGCCACTGGTAACAATGATCAACATATCTTCTTGTATCTGTTTACACTTAGCCTACTTACCCCAACCAACCTTCAAAAGTGTTTTAGGCCTGCACTTAGTTCTTATCGCAATTACCGGGTCAACGTTTGATTTACGAGCCGCTGTCGTTTGAACGAGCTGACGTCAAAAAGCAGCCAAGTTTGAAAGAGCAGACGGCAGTTCGAACGCATGCGCAATGGAGTACGGGCAAGAAGCACCGCGTCCCGCGTCAACAAACCATTCGAATGTCACGTTGTCGGCGTCTGTGTGAGTCTGCATACTCTTTTTCGCGTTGGAATTATCGATTCTACGTCCTCATCGCAATGTCTTACCACTTTAATAGCCTGAGCAAAATGATCAAGGCTCGTTACGCCGCTAAACTTTCCGTAAATAATTTGACGTGCGGCGATTTATTCGCATGAACGCTGCAGAATGGACGCCAAAACCATGATGAGAGTCTTCTAGCTATTTTCAGTCGGGACGTAGCTCGTGCTGCAAAAGTGTAAAAGGTAGCGGCAATGATCGACGTCAACACTGAAAATCGGAAGCGGGAACAGACCAAGCGTAACAAGTCGGTGATGGCCACCAGTACCAATGATCAACATCTTGTATCTACTGTTTACACCGAGCCTACTTCAGTCTTTTGAGGCCTGCAATTACTTCTTATTGCAATCACCGGGTCAAAGTTTGGTCTACGGGTCGCTTTTGTTTGAACGAGCAGACGACAAAAAGCAGACAAGTTTGAAAGAGCAGACGAAAGTTCGAACGATCAGGCGGCCGTGTGAATTTGAAGACGCACTGAACCCGTGGGTGGTCCGGATAACTTGGCGGTTTTCTCTCGTTCATGTTGGAAAAAAGCAAATACATCTGGCGACCACAAAGTGTTGCCCGCACACGCAATCGTAGTTCGACAGCGTCTGGTTTGCCCTTTTCACGGCTACTATCCACGTTCTCGGACGAGCGGAGGGGGCAAAAACACGTGAAAACTGATCTTCAAACCTTTCCAGACTCTCTGGGTACAGCCCCCGTCGCAGCATTTTGCCGAGAAGGCAGGTTTTTTGTCTCATTTCTTCCAAAGGAACACAGGAATGCATGTCTGGCATGGCGACTTCTGCCCACCGCCCCAGACCGGAAGTGCGTCCGGCGCGCCACCACCGCGGCGTGACGTAGGAGAGTTGAGTTCGTGTATACTCACAAAACATGGCAGTTCGATGACGGAGCCATAAAGTGCCCGGTCGCAGATTTCGAGCGCGAGGATCTGGAATCACGGAGCATTTCTCGGGGAGTCTGGTATTCAGCGCACAGCTTTTGCAGCGGCGATTACCCGAAACATGGTTTTCGGTTTTCAAATCCGACGAGAAAAGAAGCGGTAGCCCGAGGAACTCGAGAAGCACGAGCGGACATTCCGTCACTCGGGACAAGTGTGTTTCGGCGTCTCGCCGCAGCGGGGCGCCCGTTATACATGCCTCGTCTGCCGCTCTACCTTTTTACTTTCGGCGACCGCGTCGCTTGACGATCTTTCAGGCTTTGTCAGTATGGAGGAGGCTATGGTATAAAATACAAGCAATTAAAAAAAAAAAAAAAGAAGATATCCGTGTGCGTGGCGGAGTTGGCATTGCACGCGGGTGCCACACGGCGGAGCGAAGTTCATACCCCAATTGGCCTGCTTTTGTTTTAATCAGTCAGTCATTTTCTGGTAATTTCCAGCCTATTCTGCGCTGAGTGTATAAGGGGGTAGTAACGCGCTGCTTTGGGAAATGGGACAGACGCGGTTCCGTCACCGACTCAAGGAGCGTTTTATGTCAGGCTTTCAGTATGTAGGCACGAGTTCCCCTTATTAAATGTTTATTTTCAGTTTTACATTCGGCTACCATTCTCCATCCGTGACAACATCAAGCAAAAAAGATATATAATCACTACAAGCTCATATAAAGTGTCTGGAGAACTCGTTTTGGGCTCAATGGGCTACTGTTGCTCTTTTGTTCTAATTGATTGTGTATTAAGGTGAACGTATTTGCTCATTTATACGATTTCTTAGTTATGTTCATTCAATTTAACACCAAGGTCCACGGTTATTTTTGCCTCACTTCCTAGATTCAGATTGTGGACTTCTAGCGATATTTTGCGTTGAAGCTCTCTTCTACTATCACTATATGCACGTTGTTTTATCTATAAAATGAATAGGATTTAAGCTCTGTTCTTCAACAGTGAGTTTCTAGTACTTGATAGTACCAATAAAAAAGGCGGAAGAAACGGACATTCCATGAACATTTTATTTGCGATACCGTAGGCACGTAAAAATGCTAGTAACTAAAGGTACTACGGTCTCACCTTTGACAACAACGCAAAGGGCACGATCAATGACATAAGCACAACACTTCACGCAGCGTGATGAACATTTCACAGCACTACCATTAGGAAGTGTTCTAATATTATTGTGTGAAAAACATACTCTAGGTTCTGACACAGTCTGGCTCACCCCTAATTTCACATTTGCAATAAAATGGGTTTATTGCGATGTAGTTGATCCATGCCTGCGTTACAGCAACACCCGCTCTGGATGTCACACACAAGGCCGCTCGATTTTGGGTCGGCTTGCTAGAATGCCCTCTTGAGACGCACACGGGGGACACTGGGAACTTCAAGAACAGTGCTTGTGCGTTGTCCGCAAGTTGAGGGGACGTTGAACGAACGGTCGATGAAGCGGCCCTTAGACTTTCATACCAATCTATAGACGCTTTACAGCAGCTGTGCATGGGCGCCGCCATAACTGACCTTCAGTTTTTGTTCCCTCTTATTCCGTTCGCTTCACTTCATCATTACCACAGCAGGACAGGTTATTGCCATTTTAGATGCTACTGTGTTCTTGTGCCCAGCATAGGCCCTTGTGAAGGCCCGTCGACGCCCGCTTCAGTGGCTCGGCATCTCGGTAAGACAAGAGAAGGGCGGCTATGGCGGCTCAATCTGGCGCGTGTGTAAAGCGTCTATACCTGATGTTCGTGGAGCAATAACAGTCCAAAAAAAAAAAAAAGTATGGAAGGTTTCTGACTTTCGTGAAATGCTATCGTGACCAAACTAGGCGCCTGAAAGCAGACGAAGAGGAAGGAGCCTACTGCATTGGTTGGAGCAGGTCACGTGAACAGACGTTTAGCGCTCTCTTCGGGTGACCAGTGCATCGAGGGTGAACTGTGCGCCGTAATATCGTCCGCTCGAAATGTCGTCGCGCCCTCGCCGCTGCTTAGATAATTATTTTTTTTTTTTAAATGAAAATTTCGAGAATGCACCAAGCTTAAGAACAGATGAAATTTTTCATAAAGCATGTATTATATATACAGTGAAACCCGTTTAGAACGAACCCACGTACTGCAAATATTGTCGATATCGAACTCAGGAAAAATTTGAATAAAAATGCATGTAAAAAGTACCTTTTATAACGAACGACATATTGGCAATATCGAACTTTTCTCCCTGGGAAGGCTTCCAAAAACGCGCAAACAATCGTCTTATTGGGCAGGAGATCGAACTATAGAGGGCGCTCTGACCCGTTTGTTTCCCCACACCTCGGTGTTTACTCAACACAAAGCTGTGCACATGGCAACAGGCCTTATGGGCATGTTCAAGTCGCCTTCTACAATAGAGCGCAGGGCACAGTGTAATGTAAACAAAACTAACAATCGACGAAGTGACGTTAAGTGCCGGATCTATCCCGAAAGCAGTCGTCAGAGAATGCGAGCTTGACCCACTTCGGCTTTTGTGCTGAGCTGGGCACCGTGCATGCTGCATTGTTCATGCAGGCCTGAGTGGCAACAAAAGAGCCCTTCCTCCCCTCTCACCGGAGAACACGAACTCCAACCGAACGCTGACGCCGCGTTCGGTTATGTCGGCCGAGCGCTGAGTCATTGTATTTGCTGTCCCCAACCGTGTAGTTCTAAAGTTAACCGCTTGAAGCGTCCCGGTCAGTCCTCCTCCCCATATCCCTTACCCCCCTTTTCCACCCAAAGAAAAAAAGAAAAAGCAGTAAAGAAAAACAATTACAAAAGTTCAAGCCGCGAACAAAATTTAGCGAAGAGAAGCGATTCAAAAGAAAAAGAAACTGAAAAAAAAAAACACTGCACGCACGCACAGAAAAAAAAAATATTTTCATCATACAGCGGTTGCTCACGAAGGGAAGCGATTCAGAAGGGGAGATAACCTAAAAAAAACTAACCCTGCAAGAATCCAAAGAAAAAAAATCTTTCCAGCGTTTTGTTACAAGAGGAAGCGAAGAGATGATAAAGAGAGAGATGCTCTCGCCTTACAACGAACGCATCGTAGAAGTCCGTTGTAGATGGTTTCTGCTATGTCGAAATACTTGCTATATCGAACTGATCGTAGCGTTTGCTGCTGTTCGTTATAAACGAGTGTGACTGTAGTGCCCTTGAAAGAGGGCCCTAAAGGTCATATAAATGAAATGATCTGTACATTGTCCAGTAAGCGAGAAATCGATGGTTTTCTAGTATTCTCAAGCGAGGATGGCCGGAAGCACACACTCGCTTGTGGCACGTGCGTTTGGAAATTTGTCCATTGGAAGCCGTCATTTCAGTATATCCGAAATTTAGACTGCGCTTTAAAAGATTCTCGTGTGGTCTAAACTGACCGTTAGTCTTTCGCTGGAGCCTGCCAAAGGCCTCTCGTTGGTTTACTTGGGTACGTCAGCCTCAGAAAAATACTGTGGCAACGGGCCGTTCTCATTTCTCAGGGCATTATTTCTGTGTGTTTTGGGTGAGCCAGATTGTGGCGGGTGGATAGAATCTCAGACTATACAACAAGTACTGCACTCGAGTGATACAGAGCTACGTAAAGTTTGTACAACGGGCTCACACAATTTGCTTACACCGTAATATAACGAGATATGGTGCGCAAGGCGATCGAAGTTGATAATGTACACCATTTTCACTTGAGAGTTACAAAGTTGCATATTGCGCTATTCGTTAGTTTCGCGCATCGTTTATTTTGTACAAGTTTACTACAAGCCTTAATTTGTACAAATTTATGTAGCTCTATATGCACCATAAGCTTGCATTGCGTATACATAATTGATGTATATGTTTATTTTCCATGCAGATACAAATTTGTCATGTGTTCACACTCAAGGCAATCATTTGTGCTCACTCACTCACGCGCATGCACACCTACATTTAACGAGAACTGAACCTCACCGGCAAAATGTAGCTTTGTACCCAGAAATGCTCTCCACATAACGCTCCGCCAACGCGACCAACCAAGCTCGACCGTCAGCCTCCAAGCCCTGAAGTCAAGGCTCCATTCCCCACGTTTCGTTCCACATTAAGCTGCCAATTTGGGGAGTACCTTTGCGGGTGATTGTTATCGCGCTGTGTAAACCATTATCGTCCGGGGTAAAGTGTTCACGGGAGCCGACGCGTTGGTACGGAGAACTAAATGTTCCTTCGAAAACAACTTGGTTTGAACTGCGCCCATGAGATGACGAAACCTCTTGCCGAGGCACCCAAGCATCGTTCGGATCGGGTAGGGCACGCTGCGGCGGCCGCGTCGACGTTTCCACGACGGCCGGCGTTCCCGTCTAACTTCAGCGGTTGGCTGCGGGGAAGCAGAGCTTCGCCAGCTTGCGTGAGGAGAGGGGGCCGAGTTTGCGTGCCGTGGCGTACAGCTTGTCCGGCTCCCAGGAGCAGGGGATGTAGGGGCACTGTCCGGGCTTGGGCACGTGCAGGCCAAGTTTCTGGAGCAGCTGGAAGAAGTCGAGGTTCTTGAGCGCCGTCGACTGGATCTCGCTGAAGGCCACGATGGGTACACTCTGCCCGAGCAGGGTGTAGTGCAGCGCCACGGGCTCGGCGTCCACCAGCGGCCGGTTGCTCTCTGCAAGGCAAACACGACACGGATCAGTCCACGGTGTGAAGACGATCATCTTGGTGAAAGTGTGAGCGCGATCGACTGCGTTCTCGGATAAATCATTTGTGAAAACTAGGCTGTCTCAATGCAATTCTTTTTAGGGTGAGGACATTCTTTGTAGTATGTGATGCCGATAGCAAGTTCTCGGAGGGAAAATGCCAAGTACTGATACAAAATGTACGACAAAGTGCTAGGCAATTGCGTTGCATACGTGAAATGTTGTAGCATCATAAACGTTCAGCGATACTCCCGAGGTTTTAGGCTCCAACGTTCCCGGCGCTCCTCATCAGGTAGTTTAACGCGTACCACGTGTACACTTGATGGTTGTTGGCAGAATGAAGCGACGCTAACAATAACCGGGCTGATAGATCTGGCGATCTTCCAGATACCTTTCATATACTGGAGTTCCTCTCCCTCAGTGCGCGCAAGTGGTGGAGCTTCTCCTCGCCTACCCCTCTGGTCGCATGAGCTCCCTCTACACTCTAAGAAAAAAAGGGTGTAGTCGGGTGCATCAGGCGCTCATGCTCCCTTTCCCTGAAAGACGCACCCTCCGTTGCCCAGCCAGTGTGCTTGTACACCGACAATGAGCATCCGCCTCTCTCTTAAAGGGACCATGAAATGATTTTAAAATCTAATTTCATCCACCGCACGTCGTAAAAGGTGTGAAAAGAAACACAAAAACACAAAACTAGGGAGCCAAAAAAAATTATTTGCTATAGAACTTTTAAAAGAAAACTGGACTCTTTTGCGACTTTTTTCCTTCGAAAGCTCTGCCTTTTCACTACGATGCATCCGCAGAAATGGAGCACGTCAGCCGAATCCACGTCGCCTATTGGGTAAGAGCCTACCTCACCAGCACCGCGATCGTAAACAATAAATAGCCGGCGAATGTTTCCTAAAAGTTTTGTTAAATAGTATTCAGACCCACATTTTGTAGCATAATTAGAGATGTGTGGCAAAAATTGCCAAATTCGATAATGCTGAGAGCCAAGCGCCATCTATCGTGTGGTAAACGAAGCAACTACTGCGCGTGCGCAGTAGTTGCTTCGTTTACCACACGGTTATTTCCTTTGGTTTCCTTCCTCTCAAAACTCTGACTGACTGAACGTTTATTTTTCTACGTGTTCATCTCGCGCGTGCCGACTTCAAGCAGCAAGAAAAAAATGTACTTAAAACAGACCACGACGAACAAGAACGCTGGATCCACAAACACCCGAGAAGAGCGACAACAGCCGCGAATCGCGCTCCGACGAAGCTCTCAGAATATAGGCCTAGCAGGCACTCCGACTCGGCGCAGCGTTGCTTCGTCGCAAGACCGTCTGTCTGCCTGCGACCGGCTGGCGTGCTGAATGGAATATGCCCGCGCTACCCTTGTGGGGTACCCTTGTGGACCCTTCCCGTATAATAGTTTGATCGCTGACCTCAATTTTACGTTAAGAGGTGAGGTCAATCTCTTCCCCTTGTTTTCCGAAGTGTTGACGAACACTCGTCGAAAAGGGACCCTCGTCGATTCTCTCTTCTTGTTTTGTGTGATATAGAGCTGAAATAAATGCTGTATGGATTACCTTCGTAACACGGTATGTACACTTTGTTATTGGTATGCCATTTTTATCCTGACAGACTGCACGTCACTGTCGAGCTGCAACAGTTCGTGAGAGGTATACGTGCAATACCGGTCCAACCTTTCTTTGCCGAGTGTCGCGTCAGTATCGAGTTGCAATCGTAAAAAATCGGTCCCGAAGCGCTTACCAACAGCGCGAATACAGCACTTCCATCAAACGCGCGCGTCCGCTCCGAGTGTTAACAGGTATTTACGTGGCTCTTGCTGACACTCGTAGTTCAAACGTATCTTTTTTAACGTCGGCTCGCTCCTGCATCTCCGAGACCGCGAAAAACGCCGCGGCAATTTGTTTCCATCTACGTCGCTTTGCAAACGACTGACACTGGCCGCCTTTCGCCAACAATGACAGTTGGGTTGACTTCTGGAGTCTTCACCGGAAGACTCGCTGCACTTCCCAACAGGCATACAGGTGTATGGGATTAGTCTTATGCTGTCGCTGTAGCGCAACCTATCTCGTTGAATTTCGCTCAGCTGCGATGCGGCCATTTTCACCGCGAATACAGCACGGCTACCACGCCTAGAAGGGCTTTCGATGCAGCTGAACGAACCACGACCGGCACCGGACGAACCGGAATCGTGAAGCCACGTGGTGCCTCGCTTCGGATGACGAAACTTCCGGCTCAAACGCCGGTCACCTATTCAGAAAATACATCGGTGACATCGGCGCAGTAAAACCTACCGGCGCACCCCAACTCGTCCCATCTCCTACTGCCGAGAGAAGTTCCGGTTCCGGAAATAGCGTACGTCACGGCTTGTTTTGCGGTCAAGAAAAAGTCGATATTTCATTAATTTTTTGTGTAGAAGTTAATAAACCGAGACGAAAACGGATGCCTGTTCGGCATTCAGTGGACATTGACGGTTTAATGTAAAAGTTATCTGGAAAAAGTAAAAAAGTCATTTCATGGTCCCTTTAAAAACATCTAGTTGTACCAATGCACCGCCACGCTAGCCACGCGCCCCGATCAGCTTGTGCTTGGGTTCCTCCATGGGGGTTATTCTTTGGGATGGGCAGTTTCTTAGGAAGTATGGAGCTATCGTGTTCCCTCGGTATTGACAGTAGAGTAGACGTTATGCTTGTTTTAGGCCAATCGGGTCTCCGGGTAGGATCACGTGACTACAGTCTCCAAGCTAGAGATAAGGCAGAGCACGGCACCAGCCTCAAGGCCAAGGCCACGGACAGCATCCACTGCACTATTAACTTTGGGTCGAACTTTTAAGAGGATATAAGCGACAAATCCTTTCATTGTTGGGTTGCCCCTGAAGATAAGCCTTTGCGAGGGTGGCCCCTTTTGGCCTTGAAGGAGCTGCAATTTTCATACTCATTTCTTTTTTTTCTTCTCTCTCTAAGCTGAAAGTACGGAAGAAGGCGCGCAGTTGCCGGACCAATGAACCGAAGGCTTTTTTTATCCCTCGACTCCTCTGTCTGAGCGCGGATACGGCAGGAGCGTGATCATGTGGTAAAGGTTTCACGGATGACGTAGTAGCTTTTTTCGACCTCGGAATGTCTGCTTCCCGGCCTAGTTGTTTGTGTGCTGTGCTGTGACCAGCAAGGCTGCCGTAGATTTCGCCCGCGACAACGTAATCGAGTGTACTACCAAGATTTCCAGTGTTTGAAAAGTCCTACGCGTGTATCGGCAACAGGGGATTTCTTCAAAAAAGCCCAAGGAAGTTATGTGATGTGTTTAGTGTTCGGTTCGGCAAATTATTGCTTCGGCCACATCGTGTTGAATATTCACGGTCCCCTTTCTTTTCGTTTTTGTGTTTGTGCGGTTCTGCAGTGCCCGTGTCGACCTATATATCGGATTACATATTTCAAGTCCGGTATTTTCATCGTAAGTGCACTGCAACCTACTCCTTTGCAACAACTGACCGTTCCGTTCCGGATTGCCTCAAGAATTAGGCAGTGTCTATTTTCTATCAGCCGGGAGAATAATTTTCCCGAAATTCTATCGGCAGTCGCCTGCCATTAGCTGTATACAATCATGTGACAACTGCAGGTGGAATACTGACTTTCTTACTCTCCTGGCGTTTTGTGAAAACACTTTTTTGTCGATACACGTTTTGTAGACACGTTTCATCGACACAAACGTTTCATCATCACTCGTTACGCAAAATGCACGCTGTAGGGACATTTTGTCGCGGGTGTATCTCTGAGGCGCGTGCTCACCGACCCAGCCCACCCGTTCGCGCCGCTTCGTGGCGACAGTCTGCGGCGGCTCATTACGAAAATGTTAGCCCACCTGTCCCACCCATACACGTCACTTCGCGGATACATTCTGGGGCGGCTCATTACAAGAAAAGAAAGGAGAGAACCTAAATAGAAAAGCTAATCTGAGCTGTCGATGAAACGTCGTTCGATGAATTAACGGTGACTGCCGGTGGATATTTGTGGAAATAAATCTACGGGCTGCTGGCAGAATGGACACTACCTAAGAGTCACCCCCGGTTCTTGTTTGCTTAGTAATCTTTTCAGTTCTGTAAAATCTTCTTTGTACGTCTTCACTGATATCACGGATTGCTTGCAAGTTTGTACTTGTTTACGGAATGGGCTGTCTAATAAACTTCTATGAGATTTGAAAACAATACCGTGCGTCCGTTTACCTGCCTTTTTGCAATCACCGGGGCGCATACATTTTTTACTGTTTTCCTTGATGTCTTAAATAGGTTTATGAAGTTATGAAACGGGTGCATAAAGTGGTGTAACCATGCACCTTTGAATCGGGTGCATCTGTGTTCTCTTCGAATTCAGCGAGTGTAGAAAGAGGTGTAACAGTACACTATTGAACGGGCTGCTCCTGTGTTCCCTTTGAGAGCAGTAGGTGTAGAAAGGGGAGTAATGGTACACTATTGAGCGGGGTGCGTCTGTGTTCCCTTTGAGTGAAGCGGGTGAATGAAGAGGTGCAATGGCACACCGTCGAATGGGGTGCATCTGTGTTTCCTTTGAGTGAAGCGGTTGTAGAAACAGGTGTAGCCGTACACCATCGAATGGGGTGCACCTGTGTTCCCTTCGAGCGTGATTTCTGTAGAAAAAGGTGTACATGTGCACCATATGGCCAGAGATCCCTCACCATCGACATTGGACTGCGACGACTCTTCCGCTGGGTCTTCATTGTTGCAGACCTTCGCGAGGCCATACTGGGAGCAGGCTTCTTGGCGAACTTTGGCCTGGCCGTTAACATGCGTGGCAGAAGCCTCACCAATTTGTAGCGCGTTCGATGTCGTGAACGGAAGAGATGGTGCGACCGACTCCGAGCTTAGGTGAAAACGTTCTGTTTATTCTCTCGTGCCGCCGGGGAACGTTCCCCTGGATGGCAGGTGCTCGGAGTCGATCATCACGTCCGGGTCACCAATTTGTGGAAAAGACGTCCGAGCTCAACTGGGTTGACCATCTCCCATACGTCCTTCTCGGCATTCGATCCGCCTTCAAAGAAGACCTGGAATGCACCTCGGCTGAATTGGTTTATGGATCGCCGCTCCGACTCCCTGGATAATTTTTCGATATCACCAAGTGCACTCCAACAATTCCACACCAAGTGTACCTAGACGACTTGAGGCACTTCATGCAAGAACTTAAGCCCACACAACCTCGGATGCCCCATTCTCAGAAGATCTTCGTAAGTCAAGAATTGAAAACTGCCACCCACGCATTCGTCCGAAAGGAAGTCAAGAAGAAAAGTCTCACGCCACCTTACGAGGGACCCTTTAAGATACTCGAGCGCACCGACAAGACCATGACTCTTGACATTCACGGACATCGAGAAATCGTCGCCATGGACCGAATCAAACCCGTGGAGCTCGGACGTCTTTTCCACAAATTGGTGACCCGGACGTGATGATCGACTCCGAGCACCTGCCATCCAGGGGAACGTTCCCCGGCGGCACGAGAGAATAAACAGAACGTTTTCACCTAAGCTCGGAGTCGGTCGCACCATCTCTTCCGTTCACGACATCGAACGCGCTACACACCACACCAACGGGTGTACACGTACTCCCATATTTGGGGTGCACTTGTATTCCTCCAAAGGGTGTAGTATATGTGACAAGCACTTACACCCCTATGGGTGTACCCCATGACACCCTTTTTTTTTTAGAGTGAAGGTTCCGACAGCGTACGCAATTTCGTAAACGCCATCGGCTCTAAGTACATTAAAGAAGCGAAGAAGCTGAAAGCCAAGGTATTTCGAGTGCCCGGAGAGCCAAGTCCGCGACCGCGTGCGAGAGACCGCTCAGAGTTTTACCGTCTAGCCGCTAGGGACGCTGGAAGATGTATGCATGATATTTGGTGAGATGTGGCAGGTTACGCCACCGACCTTTCAACTATGGCGGCCTTTCTGAATAGGCGGATTCCAGGGTACAGCAATAGACCTTATACATTTTTTGGCGCCGCCTATTTGCACGTTTTTGAGAATATCGGGCTGCATGCCTCAAAGATGGCTGCCTCTTTGTTCGAGTTTTAACGAACTCTGGACGAGGAGTTTCAAAATCACAATGACCGTGTGCGTAAAAAAAAGAGGAAATCTTTCTTTCGCGTTTTGACGTTTGACTAAGTCTGTTATCGACCACGCTATACAATCATTAAGTGTTCGCCGAATCTGTTACTTCAAAACTTTTCGGATTTCATTATCCAAACGCGCAGCTTCACTATTTCACCGTACAATGCGCTAGTCTTCGGCAGCTGGGCAGGGGCTAGAACTGACATAAGCCTGGCGATATCGGGAAATATTTTGTATCAAGAAAAACGCCCAAAGAAGGGGATTATTTTAAAAGATTTGCGCAGATCAGCGAATTTGAGAATCCGAATGCGGGTGCTGCATTAGAGGCGCTCAGATTGGCGAGAGGCTCTTTGAGGTAAGCTGACACGTCACTGCGATCTAGATGCATCACCTTCAGAGTGGCCTCCTATGGCGTTTCTGAAACAAGAATGGCGCGCCACCATCGTTGAAGCAGTTTGAAACATGTTTTGAATATTTCGTGTAGATGGCGCCCCAATTATGAACAGTGTTTATTGAATTAAATTTAAACGCTAAACTTAGAAAAAAAAATTAGCAAGCATGTAGTGACACCTAAGAACTTCTAGAAATATAGTTAGATTTTAATTTGACGTGTACAGACCCTATTAATTTAGAACCCTAAAAATACAAATGCCGGGACCTATTTTACTGCCCTTTCATGCGTTTACATGTAGCCCGCTCAATGTAACCTTGCATCGCGGCGCAGGCTCTTAAAACAAACACAAACACACACACAAAAAAAAAAAAACAGAAACAAAAAAAAAAAAAAAACCCGCCAAAATCTTACTCAATTTGACGTAGCAGACTTCGAGGAATTTCTTCTGTATCCATTGCAACTGCGACTCGAAGCCCAAACCTTTGAGCTTGAGCACCAAGTCTGTGATCTCGGAGATTTCTTCGTTGACGACCTCTTGACTTTCGGCGTGATCTTTGACCTTGCTGGAGTTGAGCAGGAACTAGAAAGACAAATTGCAAGCCTTACGTCAACCCTGGCTGGCCACTCGAATCAACGGGTTTTCATTTTATTTTTACAACGTGTCACTGCGCCCTCATCTTAGCTACCTTCAAAGGCTAGATTTTTCTTTCTGCTTTGAGAATACCAGGAAGTACGAACACCTTTCCATAAAAGCGTTCGAGGGCGCGTTCATGGCTGTGTTTGTGTGTTATGCACGCGCACCTTCGGGCTGGCCTCAGTGGCGAGCAGGCTTTGGTTGGGTTGTGATTTAGCACGTGTGGAGGATGAGCACCGTACCGGTGTACGGTCGTGTATCCCTAGTGCGTGATGCACGTTAAAGACCTCAAGCTAGCAGTTGTACTGCACTGTCTAAATTTTTAATCTACAGCTGGGATACTTTTTGCTCCTTGATGATAACAAGTTCCAGGCGGTATAAACATGCACAGAACCCAATTGTTTTTTAGCACGTGTGAACTGCAATTTTCATAAACAGTGGATACTTTCATGCTTTATTTTGCAAACAGCTGCAATGTTGAAAAAGCCACGGGCGCGAACGTGTGGCTTTGTAAAGTGCCTTTTATATACGAGAGACTTAAAGAAAAGCATTGGGATAAGCTAGGCTTATTCGCCTGTTTTTGTCTGCAATGCAGGAATTTGTGAGATATAGTGTAATTCGCTTTTTGCACGAGCCTAAAGGAGCGTTTAAACTTACGTTCCCAGCAGTCGCGCGACAGCGTTTTGTCGCAAAATTGACGCTCGCTATCGCAAAAGCGACCGGTTCGGAGCAGTCGCTTTTAAAGTCACTGGATCTTGTTGAAAGTGGCGTCATTACCTTCCCTACCTGCTAGCCGGACACAAACAGATACTAACGAATAGACGACGAAACTTTGCAAGATCACTGGCTGATCTGTTTCACTTGCCGCGACAATCGCCATTTCGGTCCATTGAAAATTTTAGAAGCTTCGAAAAGGTCGTTGATCTAGTAGCGCCCTCGCTATGGACCATCATCGCACTGAAAACGATCCTCGCCAATGTATTCTCTTTGTTATTGTGCATGCAATCCACGTAACATTCATGCGTATCCCCAGATATATATTATAATGATATTGTTCTTGTCTCCAGAGGTATCATAAAATGATATTGTCTTGGCATATTCGAGGCGGGAGAATTATTTTTCAATGCCTCCAAGCACCGACGCCGCATGTATAGTGGCGGTACGAAATGTTCGCTTGTTTCGCCGGTGTGTGGATACCGAATTCTCGGTGTACAAGGAACGTTTTTATAAAGCTAACCGGCACCAGCGACTTTACATCGGTTGCCAAGAAGGGGAGAAGCTGCTCATTCCTGGAACCAATATGGCGACCATACGGCGAGCTGGGCGCTACTTTCCCAGGATGCAGTTACTTTAGTTGCTTTACAGACAGGTTTTCCCGACCGGTCACCGAATCCTGCGACGACTGGGCTCATGCGCAGGGCCTCGGAAGTGACATGCGCCCGCGGTTGCTTACGTCCGGCATTTCTGCCCTAACCAACATGTCCGTTCAAGAGTTCGGCTCGCTGTAGTGGCCATGAACCAGACATGTGCTTATCTTAATACGTTACTCAAGATACTGTATTTCAAACACTTTTGCTAGTGTTTCGGTGTCTTGAAAATACATTTCGTCTAGAGTATTTGCTACTCTATCTTAATTGCATTTCTCACTATCCTGTACCCAGTATCTCAAATGCATTTTTCAACCTTCGAAGATATTTGTCACCGAAGAAATCTATGGAACTAGGTATCGTCAGTCTTGAGGGAACAGCTGAACCGATTTCAGACGTAAAGGCAAGCGACCATACACAGGAAAGGAAACAAGCACGAGCAAAACGCAGTCTAGGAATGACAACAAAAGATCAAATGGATAGCCTCAAGTACGACAGCCTTTATGTGTCTCCTTTTCCGATTTTCTTTCCAAGTTGTTTTGGAATGGCACGCTACAGTTGAGCTAGCAAAGTGCTCGTTACGTTATCGGGATTTTAATCCTTTTGTTTCAAGCTAGAGTGATTCCGTCAGCAGAAGATTGTGACGCCAACGCTCCGTACAGTCACAATGAATCATCTTCGGAAATCGCCGGTTCAGGGACCTCTAGTATGAAAATGCGCGAGCATGTTTTTAAGTGAGCTCGAAGACTCCCTCGGACAAGAAAGCTCCTGCTGCCTTTATTGAGCTTCTGTGACTAATGGCGAGTTCCACAGGTCGTTTTGGAGCGCACCCGGATCGAGTTTTCTAGAGAGCGCCTGTTTCACGGGAGGTAGGGATCGAGACGGACGTGTTCCACTCGTCGTTGTGGATCAGCTTGTTCCGGCCATCCTTCCATGGTGAGTCGTAAAACTTCAGACAACATGGTGTCCTTTAGTGTCTCTCTGCTGATCTGCTTATGCGTCAGTGGGAGTACTTGAAACTTTTTTAGGTGGGAACCTCTCATTTCGTCCATGGGACAGTTATGCGAAAGCATTAACTGCCCCATGGAGCGAGCCGACGGCATCAGCTTTGAAGCCTCGCCAAACGGCACCTTAAATCCTTTCTCCAAGTGAAGCCAGCTTCCAGCTATGAAACCACAGGAAAAGCCTAGCCAAACGGCCACTTAGTTTCCCCGATCCCTAAGAAGCAGACTAAAGCTGATGGATTTCGGCTTCGGTCCCATTGGCTGGCGCGCGTCGACGAGGCTCTCATTGGCCGCTGCGTGTCGGTTTCAACGACTGTCACCCCATGGAGCTGCGGGTCCGTCAGCGCGCCGGTAACACGAAACGTCCAAGGTGAGAGCGGCGAGGTGAGGGCGCGCTCTGCCATCGACGAAAATACGGCGCCGACGAAATAAGCGAGCAGAAGAATGAGGTGCATGGCTTTCGCATTTAAACTCATAAGAAGTGCTTAGGTGTACCGCAAACCTTTTAAAATCGCTTTTCTTCGACGCAAACACCTTTGTCAGCCAGGAAGCACGATGGGGTCGTTACTTCAACCAAGCGGCAGAAGCGATGGAGTGCCCTACATTGGGAACATTCAGTGGCCTTAGTTTTCGGGCGTATCTGTTGGAGTCATTCTTGCCGCGAGTCGAATGCTCAAGTACCGCCGGCTTGTCTTGACTACAGATAATCACTGGTGTTCAGAAAATATAGTACCAGCCCTCGCTCCCTTCTGAAGCGATCGGCTAATACATTCTGATCACAGCTGAAACTGACTTAGAAAGAGACGTAAAACACTGCCTGCGTGCACAACAAATCCCCCCACACATTAGCACGCGTTCCTTCTTGTAACGCACTTGACCAGTTCAGCTGAAGAAGAGTATTGATATATCTTACCTGTCTCTCCTTTTCTTCCAGCTTCTCACATTGTGTGTTTGAGATGACACGCTTGAATTTCAGTTGGTCCAGTATCTGAAATGAATGCGACAGATGTTCGTTAGTTCTTTTTTTTTCCAATGCTACCTTGGTACTGAACTTGGTGTTTTGGCAAAAATAGTTCAATAAAAGTTTTCTTGAGCCATTGATATTTATCTTAAAAACAACATTTATGCACATAAATACGGAACTAGGCATCGCCATCAAATATTCATCCCCAGGTTTTATACATTTTGTATCAGCATTTAACTCAAAACCACACTTGCTTATTTATTTTTTGTGGTTTAGATTTTTGATTTCGGGGAAAATCTCCGAGAAGAGAAAGTCGCCAAGGAAATTTAGGAGAAGTTCCCTAGCTGGGGAGGACCCCGAGAGGAAGTTTCCAATGAGAAGTCCTCAAAAAGGGAATTTTTTCGACCTCCCTTAATTATTAGTATCTGGTCAATAAAAGTTATACAGGATGTTTCTTTTTAAAGTTAACGGATTTGACTAAAAAAAAAAAAAAAAAAAGCCGCGAAAGCTACAGTTATGCGGTATGTGCAGATGAGATATAGCGCATAAGGGAAATCTTATCGGGGGCTTACCGTAATAAACATTCGGTTAATTAAATAAAACTTTTTTAAACATTTTCAATCAGTGAAAATAGACATAGGGTTTCAATTAGAAACTTGCTGAGGGCCATTGAAAACCAATAAATCAGTAATTTTTAGAAAGACCGAGCGCATGAAGAGCGCAATAGTGCGCTAAAGGTACCACTCATGCAGCAGGAGCAAGGCTACCGGTGCAATAACGCACCCGCGCGATTTTTCCGTCTCTTATCATAGCCCCAGCCTTGTACCTGCTGCACGAGCGGTAACTTTAGCACACTACAACAAATCGCACGCGCTCAAAGTCGTTCTCAAAATTAGTGACTTATTGGCTTTCGATAGCGCTTAGCAAGTTTCTAATTGGAACGATATGTCTATATTGGAAAGATATGTCTATATTGTCTATAACAAAACTTTACTTAATTAGACAACTGATCGTTACGATTAGCCACCTACAGACCGTTGCACTAGTAAGGGCGGTCCTCTTTCTCTCACGCCGGTCGTCGTCTGCTCCGCCGAGTGGGCTGTAAACCTATAACATCCGGCTGGTGCTGAAACTCGGTTTAAAATCGCATTATTTTGGAAATTTCAAGCGCAGATGCGCGAATTTTGATATGCAAGTTGTCATGTAATGCTATCCTCGATAAAAAGACTAACCGGGTCTAATTGCGCTGTTACCTGCGTGCAAATAAAGAAGAAAAAAATGGAAAAAAAACTATGTCCGAGTGGGCGGTCTCTCCGCTGAAAAGTAGATCCGGTTGTTGTAGTTTTTTTACTGTACAAAGTTCGTACTGGTGTAATAGTCCTTTAGCGACAATGAGTGGAAGTCTGTACTAATAAATAAAAACGTGTTCTCCTGACGCAATAGACGTAGTGTTTGAGGGCAGTACTGCCGGCTGACTCCCTTATTAAATAACAAAACAAAGATACGCTAGTTCATCATTTACTGAAATAAAACAACAGGACGCTATAGGCTGATTTTGCAGTAGCCAAAATATTCTAAGAACGCGAACCACTTCACACCGGCAGCCACAAGCGAAAGTTTGATATTCGGTACAGCCCGTCAGTACAGCCCAAAGATGAAGAACGGCGACCTCCCGGTTTGTCGTCTGCTAGCGGAATCGGGCGCGTGCCCCCTTGCTCGTTTTACTGCGCCGAACCCGTTGAACTTCCCGGATGTCTGGAGAAGGCGCTGCGGTCGAGCAAAATGGCGCCGCCCTGAGAGCTCTAAATGGAATGGTCCAAACTATGACCCCCTGATCGTATAACTCACCTGCACAAACAGCATAAGTAGAAGTATAGGATATAATAACTCCAGCAATATGAGTTCACTGGAACCAGCTATGTTCGCGTCCATACCCCGCTAATGCAGTGCAACCGAAATGCGTAAGAGGATAGTGGTCCTCTTCCTCCGAACATATTATTAGAGTTTCATGTTTTCGGGGTTTATATTATGCTTAAATTAGGGGTTGCCTTTCAAGCAAAAAGCGCCGAAAAAATACAGGGACACAGACGAAGCGAAGCAGGACAAGGCGCACTCTCAACTGATGTTTATTGAAAATTCACACGTTATATAGCCACAACAACAACAAAAAAAAATCTTTTTACCTTATTTACTCAGCCCGCGTTTTAAAAATTCAAACTCATTTGTAGATAAGGATACTGACGTGTCACTTATACAATTCTTGTCTCTGGTCCTAATTTCATACGCCTCGTGTAATTCCCGCGACACTTTATCTTTGTACCTAGCCAAAATCTTGGTGTCATTGAAGGCCGGGGTGCAAGAGCATCTATTGCAATGAATTGCAAGGCGCCCCGAAGGCGTCGTTCTTGTAGAGGCAGCGTGCTCTCGGGTGCGATCATTAACGCACCTGCCCGTCTGGCCCACGTATGTCATCCCACACGTCATGCGGATTTCATAGACGACGCCAGTGGCGTCGTCTATGAAATCCCCATGAATATGAAATCCCCATGACGTGTGAATTTTCAATAAACATCAGTTGAGAGTGCGCCTTGTCCTGTTTTGCTTCGTCTGTGTCCCTGTATTTTTTCGGCGCTTTTTGCTTGCAATGAACCAACTGGCCCAAATCTCCACTTTATTGCCTTTCAGGGTTTTTTCCCCCACGAATTCGGCGTTTGCCGCTGTAAATTTTTACTGATGAACAAAAATTTGGCGTCTATCGGGGCGTATGTTCGAAGTAAACAGGATATGAACGCTCCATAACCTCCAGGGGCACGCGCGTGATCCAACTACTTGTTAATCGTCCCGGCATGTCGACATGAGTAGGAAACGAGTGAAGGAGTTTCCGGAGAAAGAAGCAGCCTCGCTGATAGATCAGTGGGGCTGTGTTTTGCCCCAAGCCAAAACAAAGCAGTGGGTAAATATTTAATCCCGTACACACGCGATTAAATCGAGGACACATTTAATTCGGTGTTAATCGGTTTTTCCCTATTTTAGTCAAACCAACTAGAGAGCTAAATTGTTTTCGTGTATACCGGAAACGCGGAGCTTTACTTCTTAATGTACACCAACTAATGTTTACGAACAAACCGCAGCGCCCCTCGCGGACGCCACCAGCGCCGCGCATGCGCGATGGAGTTTGGGGAGAAGCTCGCCGTCGCCCATACATAAACCATTGAAATGCGATGTTGTCGGCGTCGGTGTGAGTCCCCCTGCCATTTTTTCGCGTTCGAATTGTTGATACTACGTCTTCCTGGCTATCTCTGACTACTTGAGCGGCCTCAGCGAAATTACCAGACTCATTACACCGCAAAAAAAATCGCGTGAATAATGTGACATTCATTCCGCGTGGATGCCGTAGATTGTGAGCTAAAGCCTGTTTCGCATGATCAGATTTCGCTTGCAATTCTCAGTCGCGACGTCGCTCGAGCTGCAAAAGCGTGAACCGTAGCTGAGATGGTCGACGTCGATATTGAAAATCGCAAGCAGAATCGGACCAAGTGAATCAGGTATAACAAGTCGGCGATGGCCACTGGTAAGAATGCTCAACATCTCCTTGTATCTACTGTTTACATCGAGCCTGCTTGCCTAACTTCAAACTTGTCTTTTGAGGCCTGCACTTATTTCTAATCGCAAGTACCGGGCCAACTTTTGGTCTATGAAGCGGTGTCGTCTAAAAGTGCAGACGACAACCAGAAACGCCTGAAAAAGCAGACGACAGTTCGAACCATCAGGCGGCCGTTTGAACTTGAAGACGCACAGACCGACGTTCGCAGTTGGTCCGTACAACTTGACGGTTTTCAGGCGTTCATGTTGGAATAAAACAAATAAATCTGATGACCAGAAGTATCAGTGAATTCAACCCAAAGTGCTTCGCGCCCAAGCAATCGTGGTCCGACGGCGTCTGGTTTTCCCTTTACACGGCACATATCTACATTCTCGGACGAGCTGAGCTCATGAAAACTGACCTTCAAACCTTTCTCGACACTTTTGGTACAGCCCCAGTAGCAGCATTTTGACAAGAAGGCAAGTTTTTGTTTGGTTTCTTTCAAAACAACGCAGGAATACACGTCTCACATGGGGACATCCCAACGAGGTAGAGGGGCTTAGAGTGATAAACCGGAAGTTCGGAAGTGGCACCCCCCGGTTGCCGCCATATTTTACGCAAATGTGACCACTCGTCACGTGACCTCCCAAGAGCCGTGACGTCACAGGTAAGATGGCAGCGCCCAGAGCTGGCGGATGCGAGTTTCTTCGGTGCGCGGTAGCCGTGATGTGCAGCTGCTTTCCGACGACTTCGGGCTTCTTCGTGCTCGCTGACGCAGTGACGCAGGTATAATGTGAAAATATGAAGGAATGAGACTTTATACCGTTTTTGCGCAAGATCGCTCTGGATCATCTGGATATTAACGCCTGTGAGACAGCATCAGCTCTGCATCGCCGTACCGGTGCTTGGATTCCGGGATGTGTCCGAGGATCGATAGAACTTTGAGTGCTTTTAACATGAAATTTTCGCATTCTCTTAGCTTTGTTTGAACGTTAAATTATCTAAGAATCTACGCGAAAATTATACGTCGCGTTAGGGCCTAAGGGAAGTTGTTTCAGCCCTCCGTCACCGAACAACCATAGCAACTTTTAGCGAGGAAGCTCCTGCGATTTTAACCTTTTGTGCTAATCCACGATTCTACTTTCGATCGCTTTTCTTCCTTTTTTTTTTTTGTGTGTGTGTGTGTGTGAGTGCGAAGTGCAACCTTATTTTCAGCTACGAGGTTGGCGTTTTATTGAGTATGGGGAAGAATAAATCGTTGCAGGCACCTGCTTCAAAGCTATTCGACTTGCTATAAGAACAACTGTTTTGGTGCATGCATAGATTAACTGCGCATTTTTTCTGTTTTGTAGGATTTATTGCAGCTATACTCTTTTCCATCAAGAGTGCATTGTATTAGTCGGTCAATTATTTAATTGTTCTAATTACCTGGATAAGATGA